TGATGGCGAAGCTTTCCCAGGTATGGGTCATGGCCAATTTCGACCGGAGCTCGATTTATTTGGCGATTTTCAGATTTATGGGCATTGAACTTTGAGCATCGATTCCTATCTCATAAGTTGATGAAATTGGGAGATGTTGGATACATAATTTCCAGCGGCTTAGGAGGTCGGACGACGCCGGGATTTGGTTGCAAAGTCGCCGGAAAAAATGGACAAAAATGGCTCTTGTCAAATTTGCGATGTAGGTCCTCGTGTTTCAGTGTTAAACTCATTTGGTCCTTCAGTGACCATTCTTGAAACAGGGTGATACTTGAGTGACCGTTAGTGCAATTTTGTAACTTGAGTGACCGTTTTGTTATTTTGATGTAACTTGAGTGACCATTTGTGAAATTAACCCTATTTTTTTGCATGGTGACTTTGATGTAAAAAATTTATGAATCAGTCCAAAGGTTTTGAAAGTAAATTTTAAACTTGATTATGTGTGTTTTTTTAAAAGAAATCTCATTATTGGCTAAAATAGTCTCCACGTTAGTAGTATAAAAAGTTATTCTTATGTATCGTCTATTGGTTTCAAGACAAGTTTAACTATTGCTTGTATTATCTATACCACTGTACTAATAAAGAGTGTGTATTTTTTACTTTATGTGGACAACATGTTGTTAATTGGATCTAACATAAAGATTGTAAACGAGATTAAAATTGAGTTAGGGAAAGAATTTGACATGAAAGACCTAGGATATGGTAGGGGGATTCTTGGTATGAAGATTAATTGAGATAGGGCTAATTCTTGCATGTATATCAAACTTCTTAGTTCTTAAAGTTTTAAAGAAATTTGGAATGCTTGATTGCAAACCTAGTTTTGTGCCTCTTGAAAACCATTTTATTTGTCAAAAGAACATTCACATGCTAATGATGAAGAATTTGATTTTAATGTCATTGGCTCCATTATGTACCTTATGGTCCACACAAGACTTGATTTGGCTTTCATTGTGAGTGTGTTAATTAGGTACATCTAATCTTTGTCCCAAATATTGGGAAGCGTCAAAGTGGTTGCTTGGAAACTTGAAGAGTACTTTTGAAGCACGATTAGTTTATGTCTGCTAATGAGGGTGTGAAACTTAAAAGTTTCACAAATGCTAACTACAGTAGTGATAAAGATAATATGAAAGCTACTTCCTTTTTGTGTTTAATGCGTGACTCCTATGTGAGCTGGAAGTCCTAACTCTAACATATTGTTGGTTTATCTACCACTGAATCTGAGTATATGCTGCTACAAAAACTATTAAAGAAACTTTATGGTTTAGAGGTTTATAGGATGAACGGGGTGTTTTAAGTGATAATATAATAGTACACTCTGATAGTCAATATATTATTCATCTATGTAAGAATTATGTGTTTCATGAATGCACTAAACATATCTATGTTATGTTGCATTTTATTAGGGATGTAGTATCTCAAGATTTGATAAAACTTGAGAAAATACATTTATATTATAACTCTGTAGATATGAGCACTAATGTGCTCCCCCTGTTAAAGTTTAGAAGTTGCTTTACACTTCTAAACATTAGTAAAGGTATTTGATATTTCAATTTTATTTGAAATCATGTTGCGTGATAACTAAATTAGTTTTTTCTCTTTTACAGATATATTGGCATAAAAGTGGAGGTTTATTGGGTATTTTGATACCAAATATATTCGGGGTTATGATGAATTGTAGGATCGGGTTAAAATCATACGGTTCATCCTTGTTTGACACCCATTTTTGACAAAAAATAAATTCTGGAATAGTGATTGATGGAAGAATGTGTGGTTAAAAAATAATGAGAATTTTTAGGTTTATGTGTAGTATTATTTTATTGATAGAATGTGTGGTTAAAATGAAGAATGAGAAAAAAATGAGAATGAGAATGAGAAAAAAATGGGTGCCAAACGGGGGCTAAGTATTATAGCGCTATTAATTTTTTCTTTAAAACATGATTTTTATTATTATTTGTATTCCAGTAAGATACACATAAGATATTTTAATGATGGAAGAATGTGTGGTTAAAAAATAATGAGAATTTTTAGGTTTATGTGTAGTATTATTTTATTGATAGAATGTGTGGTTAAAATGAAGAATGAGAAAAAAATGAGAATGAGAATGAGAAAAAATGGGTGTCAAATAGGGGCTTAGAATCCATGATTGACACTATAATTAATAGTTGATCCAAAACACACAATTGAACGCTCACGAAATGAAGTTCGATCGAGTATTGCATTTAGGGCCCAACCAATGTAATAAACCTAGGGAAGGCAAAAAAGCTCGGACGGCTCAGACTCGGCTCGGAAAAAGCCCGAGCCGGGCCCGGCTTGGGCTCGGAAAAAGCGAGCCGAGGCTCGGGCCGAGCCCCATGTGGGGGCTCCGAGCCGAGCCCGGGCAGGCCCGTGTTAAAAAAAAAAATTTTAAATAAATCTGCCTGCAATTTGCAGGCAGATAGCTGCCTGCAGCAGCTGCTACAGGCAGCTTTGTAGCTAGGGGTGGCAACGAGCCGAGCTTGGAAAAAAAAGCTCGGGCTCTTTTTTGGACCGACTTTTTTTTTGGCCCGAGTCGAGCCGGGCCCGGCAAAAAAAA